ATTATGAGAGACGCCGTAGTGAAGGGCTCCGGAAATTTCGGCCACCTGGGGTTCTTTAACGTGCACCCAAATCTGAGCACACTATCACTTAAAATTAGTACTAATAAAGTCCCCAACACTTTCCATCACACTATTGTGTGTTATGTTTAATTATTAATGTGTTTCCCTTCTTTAAATGCTACTACGGCGTCTCTCATAATCATATGGTGGTTTTGGGACGTTAAACCCCACAAATCAATCAATCATTCTTTAAATGCCACACAGGTATTGTCGATCGAAGTCACGGCCGACTCGAATTACTCTTGATCCGGATCGAGTGTTGCTACACGGTCGCCTTTAATCGCGATCAGGCCCGATCACAATCTTGGCATCGAGATCTGGCTCTGTGATAGCGATTTGACTGACGTCTGCGCTAAACTCAATCCGGATTAGTTTGGACCGCGTAGCAAGGACCATTGTTGATCGCGATCAAGAATTTTTCGGATCGGACCGAATCGTGATGAAAAGATCCCGTATGGCACCTGTATGAAAAAAAAAGGCAAGGACATATAACGAACTGCTGTACGTGCTTGTACCGCAGTTAGTTATACAGTTTCTTTGTGTGCCCTAATAAATTCACTCCACAACAGCTGGATAAGGCTACTCAGTCGAATACAAGATTAGTTATCTGCACAGGATGCAGTTGGAGTGCGCTTACCCAACACGAAATTCGAAAAGCTATATTTTTCTTTTCAGTTGAGTCACCGTGTTATCGAAACGATCACGGCATTTCAGGGTAAGATGGAAACCTGATATGCACGAAACATTGGCTGCAGTGGCTTTCCTTGTTCAAATACATTTTATCGCCAAAGCCTGCGAAGCGTACCGCGAAAAACGCGTGGAAATACGGGCACAATGCGAGCGATATGCTGCAACGTATACTATAGTGCTTGCTCGGATGATACGCAACGCCTCCCGCGGGGGGGTGGGGGGTGTGGGTGGGGGGTGGTGCCGCTGAGAGATAAATAAGATGTATGGCTCCATCACCACCCTCATGTCGCGACATTCTGCAACTTTGTTACAAAAAAACAAAGTTGCAAGCATGCGTTACGATTGCACCGGCACACGTAGTAGGTGTAAAACTAAGCAACTGTGTATATTAGAAGGGTCACTTTTTTAGGGCTTTTCGATGCCATGAGGAATATGTATGCGCTCCTTACTAGAAACAGCACGAACAACCAGGGCATGCAAGAAGCCGACAGGACCAAGTTTGTTTTTCGCGCTGTTTCCACCAAAGAAATTTAAATCTGCAGTCTACAGCCTACATTTACAGAAAATAAAACAAGCAAGATGCCCCAGGAACAGTCCCAGGCTACCAGAAGTTTTCGGGGGAAGAAGAAACTCGACCAAACATGTTACCAGCGACAATAACATCAGCTTAACGCGACAGCGATATTCCGTGTCTAGTTCATCATTCAACCACTTCGTGCATACTGTTTCTTGAATGATATTGCACGAGAAGCTGAAATTGTGGCTCACTACATGTAAACTTGTAAACTTGAAACTACATAAACTTGAAAGTTACTTGTGTCAGTGAAACTTTCGTATATGGCTCCATTCTACGCAATAGGTAGAATGCTTTAAACAAAAACAGTTGTGCGAGTGAAACTTTTTTTCAACTTGTTATGCCTAGCCTCTACGCCTAAAAAAACTGCGTAAAACGATGAGTACGTTTCATTAGCTTGACTGTGTGAATGCATTCATTACTATGGAAAAATAGTATATAAAAATTATTGCTGTTTTAATTTTACTCCACTTTGCCTTGCGGAGGCACGCATGAAAAGTGAATTGCAGTAGAAAAACACAAGAAGGTCACGTGTGGGCTTCCAAAACCACACGGACTCTTAGCAATAAGTGAGTGAGTGAGTGAATGAGTGAAACAACTTTATGTGGTCTACAAGAGGCCCGAGTAAACTTACCCCCGCATTCACAAACGCTCCTCGACTCGGCTTTCCCCCTTCACTTGACGTAGTTGACCACTGCGCCGCCGCTCGGCTGAAAATGGAGCTGCGCTATTCATAAATCGCAGCCAATTATCGATGATGTAAAGTGACTTGTCGGGACTAGAGACGGCGCTCCCATCGGCTTTCTCAAGTGAAGGTGGAGCGTTGAGTGAAGGGACGTTCTAGAATACGGGGGTTACCGTCACCAGGATGGGCCCACAATGAAGAAAGTTATGTACAATGCCCCGCAACAACAGAAAAAAGAAACTAATACACAATTTAGTACTAAAACAACACCAAAGAACACTCGGCATTGTCGCAGTAGAAAATAAGAAAGCAAGCGTCGACGATAGTTTGCGTAAGTAGTGCGCATGATAAACTTCGTAATATTAACTACTGGGAAGTTTGGTGCCGCTAGTCAACATTTATGAAACTTTATTAATTTTCAAGAGTAATCTAATCAAAAGAGTCGCAATCAAGTCAAACAACTTCATATTTGTTTTCGTTTTACAACCACCTCTTTATAGTTTGATAAATAAAGAATACCTGCCGCAATATTATCATAGAGGGAACCAGAGAAATGAAATGAAGAATATCTCGGGGAGCTTTATGAATTCGCCAAAGACGAATCGAGTACACTAGCCATAAAAATAGACATCAGAGCTTCAAGGCCAGGTTACTTTTTTCTCCGCACACCACTTTTTCAACGCAGGCGTAACCCATGATGGTATGGCTCATATTGAAGAGTTGATATGTTATGACTCTGCTGGTGCTGCCACCGCTGCTAGCTGCTGCTTGCTGCTTGCTGCTTGCTGCTTGCTGCTTGCTGCTTGCTGCTTGCTGCTTGCTGCTTGCTGCTTGCTGCTTGCTGCTTGCTGCTTGCTGCTGCTGCTTGCTGCTTGCTGCTTGCTGCTTGCTGCTTGCTGCTTGCTGCTGCTGCTGCTGCTGCTGCTGCTGCTGCTGCTGCTGCTGCTGCTGCTGCTGCTGCTGCTGCTGCTGCTGCTGCTGCTGCTGCTGCTGCTGCTGCTGCTGCTGCTGCTGACGTTTTGCTTCACATGACCGACGCAGGACAGTCACATTTCACGTCTCATGATACACAAAAGGCTTTCTTCTTAAGACGGTGTATATAGGGCGCAGGCTGGAAAAAAAAGAAATCCTCTATTACCAATATGCGTAAGAGTTTCCCGTTCGCTACATGCACGTCATGTCACATTACATGAAAACTATATTTACCAAAATTTGCATAAAGATTACCGTTCTGCGTGAAAGGCGTTTGATGACATTCGTAAACTGAGTAAGTAGGCATTCCTCTCAAAGCCCTCCTTAAAACACGCTGTGATATCGCGTGTGAATGCTGCCCTGCTGCGATTGTTATTAGGCAGCTTCGTCTCACCAAATCTCTTTTTTTTCTGTTTTTCAGGAGTGCCTCGTAAAATCAGTAATGGAGTAATTTTATTTCCATGAAAAGTAAGCTCGGTTGACAACTGTTGTGTAAGCAGACGTGACGTCAGCGCCTCAGTGAGCTTTACGAAGTGCTGAACAAAATAAATATGGTATAAATGAAGCAATTGAAGCGTACCTTAAATGTTCGTGAAGATATGCGACCGGGCCACATACAAGAGAACACATCCAGATGGCAGAAATGCCTTGATAAAAATAGGCAGATCACGCGTACGGTGGGAATAGATGATATGCGAAGCACATGCGAGGAAGGTTGATATATCATTTTGAATGAGCCCAACGTTACGAGGCAGACGTAAATTGTGCCGTACATGACTTATATGCCATGATTATTGTGTTTGGATGTATCATTTAGCTTCGTCGTCTATTCACGTAACGTTATACCAAATTTAGTATCAAGTGACGTTACATGTAGAGTTAGCGAAACGGCTGCGATCGCGCTATGAGCGTAGCAGGTAGTCATGTTTTACATGACACGCATATCATGATTATCATGTTAGGGTGTCTATAACCATCGTCGTCTATTCCCGTAACAGAATACGAAATTCGGTATATGTGAAGCTAGCGGAAGTCTGCCGGTACGCAAGATGGCCAGGAAAGGCAATGTAGAGAATTCGAGCTTCATATATTGCTCCTCCTTGTTGTATCCAGACATTGTATGCAGAGCTTTGGCTTTCATTTAGGATGAAAATAGCAAATCATTTGATCGAGTTTAATATTCAACGAATCTTCGGACAACTGCGAAAGCCACATAGATTCTCTTCCAAGTTGAAAGGAGTGGCAATGCCTTTTGAGTACTCCGAGTCGTACTGCTTGGAGCTCGTAATAAATAAATAAATGTTCTCCGTATGCTTAAATTTGACCAGAAAAAATATTTAACACGTTGTCAGAGCACTCCAGGGTACAAAAGCAACGATTGAGTTTGCTATTTGTTTGTGTTAGGAATATATTGTTGCCCTCAGGCGTCGCCATACGCTGAGCAGTGCTAGAAGGGCGATGAAAGACGCTAGGCCCATGCCACTCGATGAACAAACGAGCATTCTAGGGATGGACGCCGCCTTCAATAAAACTAGACGCCTACGCATCAATGTAAGAACTTCATAAGAGATATATTTCGAGAGTCTTTTTTTTTCTTATTGTGCATCCTCTTCGGGAATGGAGCACACCGAATGATTCAGCTTCAGCCATAGCTAGGCAGGTATAGCACTGCCCAGCAGCTGTCGTAACAGGAACATGGTACAAACAATTTTGCAACAATGTTTATAGCTTGTGTAATACAAGAACACCTGCGTCATAGCGGAAACAGCGACGAAATCGCAGTTTGTGGAGCTACAAGTAAATGAAGAAGAGCAAGTGGAGAGTGTAACTTTAACCGCTGTGCCTGCTACATGTCTACTTTATGACATTCAGAGCAAATATGTCGTGAAAAACTGCTGTCCCGTTATTTCATCTTCCTTTTTTTCCCTCATCGAACTGGGAGCAGCTAAATCAGATGCCTTCCTGCTGTTTCGTATAAATTCAGTGAGAAGGGCACACCAGATCACGGGAACGTGCGTTGCCACGCTGGAAGACTTTGCCTCGGGCAGTCGTAACAGCTTCGATCTAGTCTCATAGCTGAGTATACCACTAATTGTCTTACCTTGGTAAGCACGCCGCCCTTTTAATCCCCAAGGCAACATGAAGAACCAATTTCTCGCCGTCTTGCTTATTCTCTGCTTCGCCTCCTTCAAGGTGAACGCTAATGGTCAGTACGTCATTCCTCACTAGCACATGCATTACATGCATTATTGTTAGGTTCAAGATCATGCGAAACTGGGATTGCACTTTGCTTGTTACCTCTATAAATAATGACTAGAGTATTACGTACCCAAACCACAGCAGGGTAATGTGGCGCGTCGTTAAGGAGGACTCCGCAAATTAAAACCACCTCGAATTCTTGTAACCGCACCTAAATATAATAAAAGCGCCTCTCGAATATCTGCCTCCTTCGAAGATGTGACAACTACTGCCGCGATCGAACCAGCGACTTTCATGTCAGCAGCTGGGAACCGGGGCCAGTGAATCAGCGATTCGGTTACTTGTTAACTAATGCGTCTTCGCTTGAAGCGAGTGATTCAGGCCACGAGTAAGCAGGTCTCGAAATAGCTAACTTTTCTCAAAATTTGTTACTTGAAAGCATTGAATGAACGAACATGCCAAGCAAAGCATGCAAGAAGCAGCTATAGCATGAGTCTCTAATAGCCGGTGCACTGTGGTATCATGGGTGCAACCTTCTTAGGTTGAGAGTACCGCTAAAGATAGGCTCATCTTCTTTCCCACTGGACATTTTTGAACCAGTCTCAAACGCGCAGAGGATGTGCACCCCACCGTGAAGGCCCTGAAAACCTTCGTTGAAAATCTCAACCTTGGCGAGGAAGAGTCTGAGAAGATTCTCAGCAAGATCGGCACAGCACAAGAGGCCTGCCTCTCCGAAGCGGACAACATAGACCCGGAAATCATCAGAAAGGTTAGTGCGCTGGCTTCAGCAGTGACATATACGACTTAGCCGCAAGCATTGTATCACCTCCCGAGTAGCACAGCCACGAACTTTTCAAGGCGTAGGGGGAAAGGGTAAGCTATAGTTTAGGTGAATTGTAGTGTGTATTTATATGTGCGCATGTTAAATGTACAAAAATTGGGGGACCCTTAAGCTTCGCCTTTAAGAGTTGAACGCGATAGTGAAATCCGGTCCCTAGTGCGCCCTTCAACCGCTAAGTGCATACTTATTAATATGTTTTGTTACATACACGCACACGCACACACTAGACTGTACCAGCCCGCGCACGTGAATGGTAAATACAGGTTTTCGATCTAAAGCAAGAGTCGCATGGCATCCAAGATACATGCCATGCTCTCGCCATATCGGAGGCCATGAAGAGTCTCACAATGCCTCACAGATAGCAACACAATATCTAGCATTTGCTGTTTGCTTAATCAACGCCTCTGAAAAGGCATGATATGCTTTCCGCTAGGTGGACATAGTTGTTCGTATTTAGAGCTGTTTGAAAGTTATTGTGTTTTTTACCGGTGATGGATGCACTATCCCGTCCTTTTTCGTGATTTGAGGCCTCCCGAATTCGCCTACAAATCGCCGAAAGGGCTTGTTTTCGTCGTGACACCTGTCGAACAACGTGCGTTAAAGGGGCCCTGAAACACTTTTTGAAGTAACCATAGAATGAATTCACTGGAAGAGCTTATTGCCTCACAAATTCAAAGCTGCAGAATTTTTTAAGAATTCATCCAGTGTGAGTGGAGTTACAAAGATTGCATTCTCCCTTCTCTAGCCCCGACGAAAGCGCTGGAAGCTTAGCAGAGAGGGGTGGCAGGGGCAATGAAAATACGTCACCCGCGCCTCATGACCTTGAGGACTTTTTTCTTTAGAATGCGCGGCTTTCTCAGTGTGATCGGGCGAGCACGCGTGGACCATTAGCGGCCTCCCATGGCGATATCGGTAACTTGCTTCTTCGCTCACTGATGATTTTTCGCTCACGCTCAACGCTGCTGACGCCGACGGCGGGATTTCTGCGACTTCTCGAACGCTATCGCGTTAAAATGAAAAACTTTGCATGACGTAGCCAACAGGACGGGCAGAGGCTGGAGGTCTCAAATTTGCTAGACCCCCATCCACCTGGCTACACCTTGCTGGTGAGCACAGGTATGGCAAATATATATAGACTACCTATAGATATTTTAGCCCTAATTCAATGCTATCTATCTATCTATCTATCTATCTATCTATCTATCTATCTATCTATCTATCTATCTATCTATCTATCTATCTATCTATCTATCTATCTATCTATCTATCTATCTATCTATCTATCTATCTATCTGTCTGTCTGTCTGTCTGTCTGTCTGTCTGTCTGTCTGTCTGTCTGTCTGTCTGTCTGTCTGTCTGTCTATCTATCTATCTATCTATCTATCTATCTATCTATCTATCTATCTATCTATCTATCTATCTATCTATCTATCTATCTATCTATCTATCTATCTATCTATATCTATCTATCTGTCTGTCTATATCTATCTATCTGTCTTTCTATCTATCTGTCTGTCTGTCTATCTATCTATCTATCTATCTATCTATCTATCTATCTATCTATCTATCTATCTATCTATCTATCTATCTATCTATCTATCTATCTATCTATCTATCTATCTATCTATCTATCTATGTCTGTCTATATCTATCTATCTGTCTGTCTGTCTATATCTATCTATCTGTCTTTCTATCTATCTGTCTGTCTGTCTATATCTATCTATCTATCTATCTATCTATATTTCTGTCTGTCTATCTATCTATCTATCTATCTATCTATCTATCTATCTATCTATCTATCTATCTATCTATCTATCTATCTATCTATCTATCTACTCAGTGGGTGAAATGAAAAAAACAACAACTGATTTTGACTCATTTGCAGCTTGCTGAGGAGGTCATTCCGGCAGTAATGGTGTGCAGTGGCAGCGCCGTCCATGTGGAGGAACCCCATGAAAAAGAAACAGAGGTAAGTACAGGACCATCGCCAGACTTCTTTGTTAGCCTAACTGAAGCGTTCAATGTTATAGAAACTATGACGTAGCAAAAGGCAAGCTTATCAAGTCATACTTGTAATACTGGCTCACCAGAAATGCTACCCTGCCCTGATAAAATCGTCCGCGTAGTCATGAACTGAGTTGTCCAGATATAAAACATTAATTATTGAAGTTTTATGAGTCAGGAGCATGATTATGTTATAAAGCACGCCGCAAGCGGGTATTTGCAGAATAATTTTGGTGTCCTGGGGTTGTTTAAAATTTTCAAATCGTGAGCAGGAATTTTTTATTTCGGTATCATTATCAACCTCAAGGTTACAATAATACCAATCATGTATTTCATAAAGTGCTGGATATATCCATTTTTGTGCATTTTCCCAGATATAACTAGCACCTTAGACGAGGACTGACTCAGAGTTTAAGCATATGGCGTTGTTAGCCTGCTATGCCACCATGGCAAATACCGTTTGCGAAGCTCTTTGGGCACTTATCCTGTGGGAGACACTTAGCACTCAGCCATCTATGAGCAGGATAAAGAGATTTCAGAGTAGCATGAAAATTTCTCTATTTGTCATCCAAAAAACATCAAAACAGAACGCATACTGAGGGTGATGTGTTAGTAACCTTGTATTGGCAGTATAACTAGTTTTTTTTCACATAGTTTAATTGTAGGGAGCAATCAATGCTTCAATCTGGAAGGTAGTTTATGAGGATGCCGTCTAGTTGTTTTTTCCTCGACTGATTATCATTACAAGCTACTGTGAACAGGGTTTCTATTCTTGTGGCTCACTTACTTTAATTTTGTTTGGACAGCAATAGGAGATGACGATATTGATGATCTTAATATGACCGGCATCAGCCCACTCAGTAGGTTTCCAAGTAGTTGAGACAGATTTTACAGTCATGAGATTTGCGACGAGTACTCATCACAAAAGCCGCATGTAAAATAAAAATTAAGGATAAAATAAGCTCATTTTTCTCCTGGCTAAATTAGCTTTTTTTTTCAGTCCGTAAACTTGTTATAAAAATGTGTTTGTTAGCTCAGTAAATATGTTATTTGTTGTGCTTAAACGTCCGAAAACCCCTATATGATTGATAGACTATCGTAGGGGACTTCTCCGAAAATTTAGCCCACCTAGAGTCCTTTAACGTACACGCAATACAAGTACATAGTTTACTCATCAAAAGTTTGCTCTGTTTGATATACATGAAGAAGAGGAACTTCACCAATTTTCAGCAGTTTAATTTTGCAGATAACCGAGTGCATATCAAACAAGGCCATAGGCATCATGGTAAGTTCCATTGTATATCACGAGCACAGCTTTCGCGAAGTGCTTCATTTGTGAACTTGTGAACTAATTCACAAATTTTCAAGATAGCACAGTGATAGCTTTATTTTCGCTTCTTGTTGAATCAGGTCGAGGCTACGGAAAAGTATTCTTGGCGACTTTATTATGGAGTTTTCTTTTATTATAATACATGTTGGTGTACCAATCCCTCGAAGGTCACAGGCGCAAGGATCAACTTTAGTATGAAACATATCGAAGCAGTAACTACAGTCTAATAGAGATCAGAAGCGTTAAAGTAAAAAAGAACAGCAAGTGAAACAAAACCGCATACCGTGACTTTAAAAGAAATAAAAAGCATGGTGAGAATTTCGCAAATGGATTTTCCAATGAACAACATGAATTATCAAAAATTTATTTGTGGTTCCCACGGTAAACCTAGTGACTGCGAAGTGAGTAGAGCGAGCGTATGAATAAAAAGACACGCAAACATAGAAACACACTCAAACCCTTGCAGAGAGAGAGAGAGAGAGAGAGAGATAATAATAATCATTATCTTATACAACAGTCCAGGAGAGACGTCCTGAGCGCAGGATGCTTTGGGCTCGGGCGTAGTCGGGGGAACTGGCGACGAGCCTTATAGCGGCGATGACGCCAAATTTTTGGTCATAGTCTCTGTGACATGGCTTAATCCTCGCGCGTTCACAAATAAGCTTGCGAAGCTTTGGTTCATTTGAAGAAGCACTTAAATTAATATTGAATATCTTGGCAAACACGTGAGAGGTCTGCGACTGGGGCGAAAATGGCGCAGTAGTGAGAAGGGCTGTGACAACTAGCTTGTTGGGGGTAGAAATCCAAATAAAGGAAGTTTTGATATAGGCTTGTGGAATATATGTGTTACAGTAAAATATTTGGCTCGGCAGAGCCCCTGTTTATGGATTTTTTGTTGTTGTGGAGTGTAGTGGTTTTAAAAGAAGATATGACAAACCTAGAGACTTAAAAAGAGGGTTCAGATTAAATTGAGGACGACGCAGCGAGCAACAGAAAGAAAAATGGTAGGTGTAACCTTAAGAGACAAGAAGAGAGCAGAGTGGATTAGGGAACAAACGGGGGTTAAGGATACTATAGCTGAAATCAAGAAGAAATGGACATAAGCTGGGCATATAGCACGTAGACAGGATAACTGCTGGTCATTAAGAGTAACTAACTGGATTTCCAGAGAAGGCAAGCGGGTTAGAGGGAGACAGAAGGTTAAATGGGCAGATGAGATTAAGAAGTGTGCGGGTATAAATTGGCAGCGGCAAGCGCATGACCGAGTTGACTGGTGGAACATGGGAGAGGCCTTTTTCCTGCAGTGGACGTAGTCGGGCTGATGATGATGATGATCATGATGATGATGATAATAATAATGATGATGATGATAAAAACCTTAACACCACAACTGTGTCTGACAATGTTGTTCACAAGGGAAGAAATAAGAAAGCATTTACGTAGGTAGAGAGAGAAGGAAATTTTCGCTGACAGCAAGAGAAGTTTGAAGCTTCTTTCAGTTTGCAACTTAAATTCGCCGGTAAGAACGGCTGCAACTTTGTTAGGAGTCGACGGCTCGGCTTGATGCAGCTCATAACATCCGAGATGCCATGACAATATGGCAGTCGCCGGCGGTAGGCGGTGTTTAATGCGACCTACTCGTACGGCCCGTTTTGCTCTGCAGTGTTCTTTCCCAAACTACTTTTCGTAAGTGTATAGACATAAAAGAGCCCACACTTGTAGTTTTTGCTGAAAACAACCAATCGTGTGATCGTGTCATAGCCCCTTTAACCATGAGCAATCGCAGGGTTTCGGCGAAGGTATTTCGCAGCGTCTCCCACCATGTCACGTCGGTGTGTGGGGCTGACTTTCAGCCCCCGTCTCGCCCTACTCCCTCTAATGTCATTGTATAGAGGTCGCTTTGCCCCCTCTCCCTTTCACCAAGCGCACGCCTATGCGTATAACTGATGCGCAAAGCTGTATCTGGCCAAGGCTCTTTGGCGAAATTCGGTAGTGTGGTAAGAGTCGGCTGTATACAATGGGCATTTTCTGCACTCTCGTATACACTACGTGACTTTGAGAAGACCAGGGTTCTCCGAAGCGCCAACGCAGAGAAGGAAGGACGGAAAATAGGAGGAAAAGAACGGCAGGGAGTTTAACCAGCCTATAGGCAGCTGGTTTACTACCCTGCGCATGGGAGGGGGATGGGGGAGATGAAATATAGAGAGCAGAGAGGGAAGAGAGATAAACACAGCACATTCGGCAGCACACGCGCGCACACTCAGTCATAGGTCAGTCTTGTCTTTCGCGGTGTGTGACATTGCTGTTACAGCCGCTTGTTCAAGTCCGTGTCACGTAGGAATTTCAACAGAGCTTTTGTCACCTTCTGTTGCAATGTCTTGTCTCGGGCACTTGACAGAATAGTGTCCACAGACATTTGGCTGTTGTCGATGCGCTCAAGAACGGATGCAGAGGAGTGCTGTAGGTGCTTATGAGGCGTTTGCTGGTTATACCTGTGAGAATGTGTTGACGTGTAGAGCGTGGAGTGGTACCGGGAGCACTCTATTGATAGTGACTTGCTAACGGAAGGGCGCGTCCCACGGCTTCGCTTGCCACACTGCGCGACGAGGTTTAACGAGACTATAGTTAATGCGCCGTCAAGATGAGCAGATAGCGGGTTCTGGACGTCCTCGCTGCGTAAAGAAAACCTACCTATTGCTTGAGGTGAAGACAGTGCCCTCCCACTGAATGTTTCAGTGTGAGAAGTGCATGTTTCGCTCTATATTACCTCGATCGCATTGCAGGAATCCACTACTGGTATGCATGATGAGGAAAAGCAGGAGCTCCATGATGCCCTGGTGAGTCGTACGCCTGTTGTGTCGTCGCGTTACCAGTATAGAAAATCGCGTACTACGACGAACGCATTTCATTACCATGACAGAGGGACTCGTTTATTGCTTTATAAAAATTTTTCCTGATCTAAGATAACTCCAATGTGCCGTGCAGAAGCATGCAACTGTGAACAGTGTATTGCAGCAAAAAAGTGCAATGTCACGTATGGGCTACTAAAGCCACACAGAGCTTTAGCAAAGAGGGAATTTATTTACAATGAACCAGAAAAAAAAAACACATGAAAGAAACGAACCCAAAAGATGGCACTGACGCAACCTTGTAGCACCTGGTATTTTTGATAAAAAAATGAAATCAATTGTTGTCACAGATATATATATATATATATATATATATATATATATATATATATATATATATATATATATATATATATATATATATATATATATATATATATATATATATATATATATATATATATATATATGTTATCTTGTCAACCACTTTTTTTTCTTCACATTTACATTACAATCGGGTCTAATTACTTCCCCTATACTTTCCTTGGCATTATTGTCTGTTAGATCTCAATAATACTGTGTCAAAGCATCAAAAAACTAGCCCTTAAGTATACACTGCTTTCCCTTACTCATTATCGAGGGCCTCGTACTGGCAGACTTGGTACCTTTAGGATTTAAACGAGAGACTATTGGTCAGCTAACAGCTCGAAATAAGTTCACGTGCAACGTGACGCCAAACAGGCTCCTGAAGAGCGTGCCACACTCGCCGCTATGACTACTGGTTGCACTGACCAACACTACTACGTAAAAATTCACATATATACCCAATAAAGTGGCAAGTGGTATAGCCGCCGTGGTAGCTGAGTGGTAGAGCATCGAACGCGTTATTTAAAGGTCGCAGGTTCAGTTGCTGCCCTTGGCAGGTTATCTTTTTACCCACTTTTCTTTTTTGACATTTACATTAAGTCAGCCTAATAACTTCCCTTATACTTTTTTTGGCATTATTGTCTGTTAGATCTCATTAATATTTGGTTAATACACGGAAAACGAGCCCTTAAGTGTACCCTTCTTTCCCTTATATATATATATATATATATATACATATATATATATATATATATATATATATATATATATATATATATATATATATATATATATATATATATATATATATATATATATATATATTCATGGTGAGCCATTTGCGGCATATTAACGATCTTTAAGTGTATTCGAATGAAAAAATCACAACTGGCCACACATATTTAACTTTGCCTTGTTGTCACCCGCCGCCTACCTTATATTTTGACCATCAAGGATAACGCGGCCAAATTACGCCGTAGTAGGCAGCACAGAAACGAAATGAAAATATCATGGTGACACTTATGAATATGCCTGAGACGACTCGGGCAGAGGGGGGGGGGGGGGCATCAGCATCAACATCGGAGTTTGGGAGGTCAGGTTTAATTTTGATCCACACGCCACTTTTTCATAGCAGACGTCTTTATTAATTTATTTTTTGTTGCTGGGGCTGATGATGGTGATAAATCTATTAGGCCAACGTCAATGTTGATTTTGCGGCTGCTGCTACCGATAAAGATTTTCTGCCTCAGACGTCGACGACGCTAGAGTGCCACATTGTAAGCCACACGAGACACATAGAGCTCTCAGCCGTAAAATATACGTATCACGTACAGAAGAGGTGTAAAAGCGAAAAATAATTTTAGGAAGAAATATAGGAGTTCCAAAACACGTTCCCCAGCAATATTAAGTTATATGACATTTTTCTAAAAAGCATATGCACCTCGTGTATCATTAATAACTAATAATTATCTTTTGGTCGAAGTTCGCTCGAAGAATAAGGTGTTGGCATTTGTGTAGAACGTTTTATGCATGCTGAAACGAAGTAAGTAGGCATTTCACTGAGGGGCCCCTTTAAAAACAGGCTGTAAAATGTTACGTGCATGCCGAAATAGGTGCAAGCATGCTCTTATCCGACTGCTGCGTCTCACCAAATCCCCTTTTTTGTTTTTTTTTCAGGGCTGCCTTGAAAGGCTAATAAAAAGGTAGTTTGAAATTCACCGAAGTTAAGCACAGTTGAAA